GGTCACTTACCATTGAATGGTCATCACAAGTTTTGATCTTGTCTTCTTCCTCAGATGGCATTTCCGAGCTCTTGTCCATATCACTTACTTCATTTAATTCCAGATCTTCAGGTACAGGGAAATCAATGACTACATCCTCGTCTGGGTACTCCACCTGGGATTCTTCAAGGCCAATTTCAATATGAGTGTCCACTTCATCTGAGTGATTACTACTTGCATCTGTGCTGCTGAACAGTATAGGCGAGTCATCCATGTTGAATAGCCCTTCCACAGAACTTATACTTGAATGATCTGTATTATACTCAATCTTCTTTTCCAAATTGTTCATTTGTGTAGCCCATTCCATGCAAACAGCTTCACCTGGTTCTGACTTTTCTTTGACCTCACGATTGGGTGAATGACTTTTGCATGACGATGATGYATCACCATGATAGTCAGAGAAATYCTTTTCCACTTCTTCTTCCTCCACATCAGAAGTAGCTTCCCTGTAAAGGTCGTTTGAAGCCTCTAAGCTAATCTCACCTTCTTCAGATGCTGTACTGACATTTTCCGGTTGTCTCGATTCTGAAACATTACCCTGTATTAGCTTAAGCCCTTTTACAAACTTATTTTTCCGACCAACAGATTTTACGCCATGGAATTTACCTTTTCCAAATACACATCTGCCGAAAGACTCTAGAAGTGTGGCCTTTAATTTTACATCATTTGGGAGATTAAAATAATGTTTAGCTAGTGACCAAAAAGTGTCTTTCCTCACAATATCATTGAGTGAGTTTKTCACAATAAATTTTGTAACAATAAATTCCTCAAGTTCTACTATTTCATATTCAGGTGTTTCCTAAAATAACATTAAAATATTGTTATGGAACATGADAACCAATTTCAATGCTTTGTATGTGCTGTGATAAAATGCATTATGTTGTGATAAAATAAATTGTTAATATAAAATGTGGTTTCAAGGCATTTTAGTAAACCTTAATAACAAAAGAACTGTCAATCAGTAAATACAAAAAAGGATAGTGTATAACATGTANGTCATCATATCGGAATCATTTCTGAAGAACTAGATCAAGCAACGGCTTGTAAGGGCTTGTTAATAATCTTATTTGACTGGACTTCTCTAAGTTCAACTGATAAGTCTTAGGGGTGGCGAAAGGTAAATTCGAGACTTTGCGAGACGAGCGTTTTTCCGTGAGAGATCGATACTTTTCTGTTTTCTAAAATGCGAGACCGATAATTTAGGGCTTTTAGCTCCTTTAAAAAACGGCGCTGAAACGACTACTACGAGACTTTGAAATTTGACAAAAAACGAGAGTGCGAGACCCTCAAAATTCGCAAAATTTTGCGAGACCTTGATCAGTTTTGCAGAGGACCATTCGCCACCCCTAGTCTTTTGAAGTCTAATAAAGCTCACGTTACATATTTGGTCACTTACTGTTATTGCTTTTCTTGTTCAAGGCGTTTCTGAGATCGTTTTTACTCAGCCGAATCTTGTTAGTTGGCGTCTGCTGCGCCTTTTTGGTCTTCTGTCCTGTCTGCCGTCTGCCCTCCTCTTCTCCTATGCCTCGTCGCCTCATTCTTTCCGTTTCCCTTGCAGTCTCCCTTCTTCGATCTAGCCCGTTTCTCGTATTCTTTCTCAGTTCCTCCCTTGTCCTTGCTCTTCTTTCGCTGTATCTCAGTGACGACATGATGGCTGTAACTATCTGCTGAAGATTCAAAAACTATCAATGAGAAGGATATTACAAAAAACTTGCGATGTGTCAGTCAGGGTCAGCCCTAGTCAGTTGAATCTTGAAAACTGTCAGTTACATGGCAATAAAAAATTACTTACCGGTAAGTGAATCTGTGAATCTTGATCGTGCGGATTTAAAATTTTCTGGTTTGACAGTCTGACGACAAGTGTGTAATAAAGCTTATAGACTGAGAGTATTTATACCAGTTATACGCTAGCTGGAGTACTCCCCTGATTGGTTAAAGCTCTCACAGGAATTGCAATAATTGGATGATGCTGAAACAGGACTTGTCACATAATCAGCATAATAAACAATCAGAGCAATTTACTTACAATTAACAATACGATCCAATTAAAACAAAAGGTAGTAGCCGTAAAAGAGAACCGCATACTTGATTCTTGAAACTTTTTGAGCAAAACCTTCTGAAAAGCACGCTGAAARYATAGAAAGSAGAACTTGCGGGGTTTCATTCACAACATTCATTTAATTCTGCAGYTWCTGCCCAAGCATACAGAGCATAGCTCAAATGACAGTATAGTGCGCCTAGTGTCCCTTAGGAAAAGGAAAACAAAAGAAATCCGCGCGTCGAACCGGGCCAGCCAGCCCTAAGTAATGATTAAAGTAATGCTTTGTTCTCTATCTCGCACCTTCCAAAATTCACAAGTTTTATTGTTTCACTTATAGCTGTATATGACTAGTATCATGCATACCGGTAATTGTCATTTWAATTATGTTTCTCCTTTGTTCAACTTTACTTCGCACCTACCTAGTTAGCCTAGTTACCTTGTATTGTTGTATTTACACATTGTATTTACACAATTCAATTGATAGAGCTAAATACTAAAAAGATAGTTTAACAGAGTTTAAATTGTAGTTTACGTATCGTTGTCATTTATAAAACAACTGTTTAAAAACACTCTAAAAACATAAAAAMYCGCCCAAAGCTTCCACAGTTGCGCGCACCCGTAAATATAAATACAACGCCTGAATAGTTAAATAAATGTAATATAAATGCCCAGCCGAGTCTTTTCATTCTGAAGGATTTATAGATTGATAGATCAATTGATCATAGATGGGTTTTCATTTGACCATAAAGCCTAATAAAACTGATAAAGGTAAATCAACAAGCCGCAAGCTCGTTTTTAGTGCGATCAGTGTGATACCAGCGTTNCCTTCGGCGATGCATTTCTTTCGGATTGTGTCAGAATCTACGCCAAACACGAGGGCATCTCGTAGCATTTCATCGTGCATACTATCTGGGTAGCCACTATTCTGTATCAGGAGTCTTGCTTCAGTCAGGAATTCATCTAGGGGTCGCTTATTTTGCTTCAAACCTCTAAGATAAAATCTGTTGAGGATGTGGTTGGACTGTGGTCGCACATGCTCTTCGAACCGTTTCCAGTATTCCTCAGGTTTGTTCTTCGCATTATCATCGAGGTTCCATGTGTTATACAAGTCTAATCCCTGGTCACCAGCCCATAGAAGTAAATACTTGCATTTCTGCTCGTTTGTCCTCGCTTTCAGGGGTCCTTCAAACAAAAGTTCACACTTCTGTCGAAAGCGTTTCACACGTTGTGCAAGGTCTGGACCTGGCGTCCAATCGATTTTAGGCAGTTCAAATCCAACGAGGTCGCTCATTTCTCGTCTGTCTTCGGTAATTTGTCTTTTATCTTTGTTTTTGTGACGTGACTTTTGGACCTTGTGGTCAAAAAAGACTAGAAAAAGACTATAAAATCCGACTTCTGACAACCATGTGATGATCTCAACGTGGGTTTAATCAAGATGGCTTCTAACTAATTTACATATAATCACGTGATCTTACACCCCTCTCTTTTGCACTTCTGATGATGCCGGCGAATGACTAAAGCTACTTCACCTCAAGCAATGGTGTATGGCCTAGCGGACTTAATTATTTTATTTTAGTCATTCTACCAAATGAGAACTACACAGCTCATTTAAGTAAGGTTTTTTTCTATTTTTGACTGCATCACATAATGTCATTGCAAAACAATGTAGAACCGCAAAATATGTGGTGTGGACACCACCTTTATTATATACAAACATGTATAGCAGCAGTCAAAAATAATGAATAACACAACATGATTTTTGTGATACCACAGGTACTTACAGCAATATCGATGACCAACAACTTGACAATCATGTTCGACAAGCACAGAGGGAACAACCAGGTATAGGGCTACTGTTATTATTGGGCAAACTAAGAAGCAAGGGTATAAGAATACAAAGGGAGAGGCTGAGGTATTCTCTGTTGAGAACTGATCCAACTGGTGTCCAACAAAGATGGAGGAGTGTTATTTATAAGCGAAAGTATTGCGTACCAGGTTCTCTTGCCTTATGGCACATTGACGGAAACCATAAACTCATAAGGTTAGTCAATTTGAGTATTTAAGGAGAACAGTCTAGTGTTTGTATTTAGTCTATTGTATTCCAGGAATTACTACATTATGTATTGCAAACTTTATGAACAATATGTTATGAAAAATATTTCTTTTTTGTTTATTTTGTTTTTTTTTATATATATATATGTTCATGTATTAGATGGAAGATTGTTATTCATGGTGGCATAGATGGATTCTCTAGAATACCAGTTTACCTTCATGCTTCCAACAACAACAAAGCTTCTACAGTCTTGGAACTTTTTACTAAAGCTGTTTCAGAGTATGGATTACCGTCTCGTGTGAGGTGTGACCTTGGTGGGGAGAATTACCAAGTTGGGACGTACATGTTAGAGCAACGTGGTACTGGTCGTGGTAGTATTATTGCAGGTGATTTGACTGTAATATCTGTCATCTAGGAATATAACCTGTAAATGTCTCTTATATAAAGAGTTGAATTCGTCAATCTCTGATTTGTTTAGAAAAATAAATACACATTGGATGACATATGAAAATAAGTAAATACGGGGAAAATACACGTGTATGTGCCATCAAAAAATCATGTCTCCAAACAATCCCTGTATTACCACCTTAAATTACCACCTACATGTACATGCAAGGGCTCATTAAATCATTACCAAATCTCTGACCATTTGACATGTCATACCACAGAGTTATTGTTGTCCAAATCAAAGAAAAACAGTTCTTTTATTTGGTAATTAGATTAAAATTATTTATTTGATAAATATTCAAGGACTGTTCAATCAAAGTTTAATTTTACTCTGCAGGAAAGAGCACTCACAATCAAAGAATAGAGCGCCTCTGGCGTGATGTATTTGAGGGATGTCTGGGATTGTTCTACCAAATTTTCAACTATTTAGAATCAAATGGATTCCTTGATGTATTAAATGATGTGCATATGTGGTGCCTCCATTATGTTTACATGCCTATTCTAAACAAGCACCTAGAGGCTTGGAAAAATGCCTGGATCTATCATCCTCTGAGAAGTAAAAAGAACAAATCCCCCATTCAATTATGGATTCTTGGTCTTCATTACACAATGCAAATTTCATCAAGCGATGAGGTAAAAAGCTCGAAATTTAATCAAACTGCGAATTTAACTGCTGCACGGTTACTGTAAGGTTACTGTAAACCTCCCCCCTTGTACTCATTAAAAAATCATCTTTGAGTCAGTTTAGATGATTAGATCTGGTTTTCTGTTTTAAAATTTGAACCTGAAAAAAGTTTGAAATCTGAAAATTTTATGACACAAAAAAATAAAAAAAATATATAAAAGGTGAGCAATAACCTTAAAACTGTCTTTCTTATGTTCCATTTTGTGATTAGACTAGTCTCCGTCTTTTAAATATGAATTAGGTGTACATGTGTATATATATATATTTTTCACACTCTCATACATGTGTATATTGTTTGTTTACTTAAGGGGCAAATCAATTACAATGACTATGGAATAGATTGGGATGGGCCAGTGGGCAGTGAAGATAATGGGCTAGTTGAAGTTCCAGCTACCCCATCTCCAATCAGTGATGAAGACTTACAACAACTCAGTGAGCAAATCAACCCCTTAGTTGATGATGGCAATTATGGAATAAATACTTTTATTGACACTCTGCAAGCAGTTGAGAGTATTCTTCAAAATGAAGCGGAACAAATATTGTAAGCAAAATATATCTGGTTAGTATTTAACAAAGCTTCAGGGACTCAATTGCTGTAATCTAAGAACTTTCAAGTATGAAGTCAATTTAAAAAGGTTTGTCAACTAAGTATAGGCAAACAAATATCGAGGATTTACTAGAATTCACGGACACAACATGCTTAAAAGATCATGATTGACAAGTTATAATGAGGGAGAGTGACTTAACCATTGACAATGACAATTATGGAATGTTGCATTTTATTGAGACACTTTCAAAGGTCACACTTTTACTTCTTACATGTAATCAAATATGAATAGAATTCATATACATAATAGTAAATGGATAACAACACTCACTTAAAATCTGTCCAATTTGACTGAGAAAATATATAATATACATGTTTCAGAGAGATAGTCATGTAATGTTTTAAATATCGATTTATAAAATGAAATACATAATTATAGCTAACTGCACTTATTTGTAACTTTAACAAATTGAAGAAAAAACAACAAAAAGCAAGATTGATGTCTATTTCAAGCAATGAAATATACACTTATACACAGTTAAATGATCTAGCCTCTGTGTTAATGACAGCTACAATAGAAGAAAAAAAAGTTTCTTCATCAGGGAAACTCTTTGGAAATGTTATTTCCTTTAAGCAAGTAGAAACAAATATCGATTCTATGCTATCAAACTTTATACCAATATTGCCAAGGCCAAACTCTGGCAATACTGGAGCTCCAGTGGCAAAAATTAGGAAGTTCTTTTAAAAGATCAGAATTTCCCGCCTTAGTTAAAAACTCTAATAGGTAACTTTTGATAGTTGTTTCCTCATCATTCATGGTTGGAAATTTCAATATACGGATAACATCTGATCCCTTGAAGGGATCATGATCATGTAATACAAATAAGGGTTGAAATATGTCAGGTGACTTTTGCATTTCAGCTCCAAATCCTAATATGGCTAATCCTTCTCTCAACTGATCCAGAACTATTTTAGGTCTTCCAATTGCATCATGGATTATGATACTCTGAATTACTTTCATCTTGTTATCATTCTGAAAAAGTAAACTATTATAGTAAATCTATATACTTTTTAATATGTCCAATAAACATTGTTTGGTATGGACACTTTACAATTATTGCTTTTCACCTCAAATATGAAAATGCAACCCCACCCAACCTTGAAATATTAAATGTTTTTGTGGTCTAAATTTGTGTTTCAAACTTAGAGTGACAGACTCATATGGGCACTTTAAGGAAATAGACTGTGAACGGTCCCACTCTCTCCCTATCAAAATTGTGACTGTAGGCATGAGATAATATTTTTCAACTCCACCTGCTTTTTCACTCTGTCAAATCTTATCATCACCTCGTCATTGGCGCCTGCTCTCAAGCGCCCTGCATCAATCATTTTGACATACCCCTGCTAATTGGCTAAGGCGTTTAGTGAAGCGTAGATTTCAACCAATGGGTTTTATGTGTTTGTGGGCAACATGTAATTAAAAATTAGTAGGCCACGTCTATAGTCCCACTTGTTGCGGCAGGCACAAGTAGGACTGTTCATAGTCTATTTAAAGGTAGCTCATCATATGACCGGTAACTCTCAAGCCATTATTTTTAGCCCCAGTATTGGTGTAATTTAACTTACCGTCAAGTTCAAAGTAAGTCCACATGCATCAAGAATGTCTACTGTTTCACTACTGTCAACTGTAGATACATCAACTGCTGCTGCTACCTATTTTCATAGATTAAACATAAACAGTAATCAACATTCCATTCCAAACAATATTGTCCCACTATGATTTACTGTGAGCCCAACTCTTCCTCTTAAATACTTTACTGATGTGTTGATTGTTTAAAGCATTTACTAACAAGCTTTAAAAGGATGTTCCCTTATCTGGCATTTCTCAGATACTTTTAAAGCTATGTCGCCACTCACCTTACTGATGTAGGACTGAATCCTCATWGAACAGTCTTGGATTGTTACTCGCTGCACTGCGGCTTCACTATCACCTKTTGCCAGGTAATAGTAAATGGATGGTGAGAATATTGGCATACCAGGACCTCCTTGCATTATGCTGTGGACAATGATCTTGCCACACAATTTCATCATACCAGACGCTACTACTTGTGAGTTGTAAATTTGGGATTTATACTTGTCACCATGGAAAAATTCACAAGTAAGCAACTTAAGCAATTCTGTGAAGAACTGCCTTACAACTCCACCGGTATCCACAGCTGGCTGGTCCTTGTATTTGATGCGCAGTTTCTTTCTTGGATCAAAATCTTGGCTTTTGTAGAATGCTAGGGCATCATTTAGCAAATCATCTTCTTCAACAGAGATCTTAACTTTCTCTATGCTCATCTTGTGGCTCATCTTCTTGAGCACACTTTGCAGAGATGGGAGGAAAACAGGCTTACCTAACTGCTTGTCGTCAATATCCAATTCATCATTATCAMTATCACTATCAACATTTATTGATGCACCCAAGATACCACTCGCTAAAGCCAAAGCAGTTTTGGTGAGAGTTCCATGGAAAGTCAGAGCTGTTTTTAAATCTTTGGCACTATGGTCTGGAAACATTTCTTGCAGTTGGGTAAGCTGCTCACCGTCTGTTAAAGCACTCGATGGGCCAGGTTCATCAGCTGATGATATGGGGCTAGAAGGCTTACTAGATTTGGGTGGACTGTCACTTTAATATTAAACAAATATGATGTAGCAGCAGTGAGCAAACCATTAATATTCATTTGGCAACTACAGTTAAAACCACAAAGTTCCCTCCCTAGACCTCATTATTAATTTCAATATTCTATTTCTGAATTCATTATTCATTTGCCAAACTCCTCAAAATTCGTAAATATAAAATGATATAAAAATATTAGTTTTTTACTGTTTATACTAATGATGATAAATCGTATAATTTTTGTTTTAGTTAGTTTTGGAATACTTTAATAGCATTTTGAAAAACAAGAATGAATTCAATAGAGTTGTTCCGCATAAGACCACTAATCCACTATTGTACGTTATTTTACGTTACACATGCAAATTAGGAAGTTATGCAACACCTCTATTGTTAATAAAGTGCAAAAAAACTAGAGTAACAACAAATCAACATCACTAGAGTTTCGTATATTTAATAGAATTTAAACTTCGATGCTTTTTACTATTATACATGCAAGTAATCTTGGCACAGTTTGATATTTCATTACAAAAACACGATGAAACGTAAATTGAAGTTACAGGTCCTCGAATAGTTTTAGTCTTCGTTCAGTTAAAAATGTACACAGTTCAACTACAGTAGGTAGGAGCCATCTATGCTGACGTCATATTCCACTAGTACATTTATAATCTTTCACATTCTTGAAAACATGTTCAATTTTAATGCGCTTACGTGAATGCTCTCTATTAAACTTTCTGGCCTTATTCCTCAGCCGGCGTCCTAATCGACGAATCTGGACCTCCCTGAAGGGTGTTAACAGTGGTGGTACATCAGCGTAGCCTTTATCAGCCATGAAAAACACACCGTGTGGCACATCGAGTGCCAATCCGGGTCCGTACTGGTACCATTAGCCTATAGCTTGTTGAGTCATGAGTGCTTCCTAAAAATCCTGACACTATTTGAGGGGGGCTGATATCGAACAACAATGCAAGTGTGTCTATATGGAGATACTTTCGTAGCCACATCAAAACAAGTAAAACTCCGTTACATATGCTCAGCTTGTAAAGTGGCAATCTTTGCCTTGGATTACCGCATCTCGTTATTCTAAAAAAATGTGGCACTGTTTGATACACAAATTGAAGAACACTTTGTGGTTGTTCGCCTGTGTTCAGCCAGAACAAGTATCTTTGTTGTGAAATCATGGTAAAAACATCTCTACCATCATAGTCATGACTATGGAAATGAAAGAACAGTCTGTTCCGTAGCGTCAATTGTGATAAAAGTGGTGGATTATTTATAGACATGACCAGCAACATGAATTGATATAGAGCCATGATTATAGTCATTGCAATTCCACATATCTCTTCGTCATCATCCCCTTGTTGTAGGGGTGGTGGTATTAGCAGAACAAACTGTAGAATGCTAGAAAATAGTGTACAACACAGAGACAACATCTCACGATCCATTGCGATAGATAATACAGAATGTTTTTTTGAAAATGAACATTATTGGTGTCAGAACGTTTGCCATGTAAAACCAGCATGTACATATGACGTGAAGGATTAGCCCCTATTTTGGCATCCCATGCTACAATTTAAATGCAGTATTGCAATCTCGATCCACCTTTTGTTTATAGTATCACCTCAGTCTTCTTTATTTTTTTTTGTTTGACCTGGTGCATTTCCTTCGTGCAGTATGTGTGTGCACGCTTTAGCATGACAAATGTGATGCAGCGAGAAAGAGTATAAAAGTCAAAAAGAAGTGATCGATGCATACCTCACAATTGCAAAATGTGTGCTTTTTGGAGGCCATTTGATGCGAGTGACAACGATGAGGATTTTGCTAAGTCTTTTGCAGATCAAACCAACCAAAAGCAAAAGCGATTCAGAATTGGAAAAATGGAAAAGGAAAATGGATTCCTACCTAAGGAACGGAGATCAATGGAATAAGATTTTACAAGACATTCACCAAAGAATTCATAAAATACCTATGGTGAACGTCGAATTGGTGGATTTTTACCTAAAAGAGGACGGAAATAAGGTTCTTAGACGGGTCAAAAGGATTGTGCGCGAGGTTCAGGCGATGATATTTCAAAAAACCCAGAACAGCAATGCGAAAGCACAACGCGAGTACCTCTGGTAGAGAAGCAAATGAGCAAAGTAAAAAAAGTACACACCAGAGCAGAGAAGTAAGAGGAAATTGAGCCTATTTGTTGATACTGACGAAAGTGATGATGAGAAAGAATAGCATGGGTTACCCAGAAAAACAAACCAGCAATACAAGAAATCGACAGTGATACTGAAGTCAAGACATCCAAAACCAATAACAGTAAGAAGACGATAAGAGAAGTAAATTACGAGGCATAGATGGCGCACAAGAACATGTGCGAGAAGGCCTCTGCTAGTCTTTATGTCATGAATGACGTACTAAAGAAGCTGGATAAAAGGCTCGACGATATGTGACTATTACTTGCATGTATGGTAGTAACAAGTGTTGAAGTTATATGAAATTCTAATAAAATATACGAAACTCTAGTGATGTTGATTTGTTGTTATTCTAGTTTTCTTTGCACTTATTAACAATAGAGGTGTTGCATGCTAATTTGCATGTGTAACGTAAAATAACGTACAATAGCGGATTAGTGGTCTTATGCGGAACAACTCTAATAATCCAATAATAAAGTGAATAATGAAGTCTAGAGGGGGACACTTGATCCACTAAGTATTTTATCTGTAGAACTTGTTAAGATATGTTCTATTATTACCTTTCAATATAAGCATCCAATGTCTCAGAAGCTGCTCTCTAAAATGGAATCAACATTTAGCGAAGGGGTAAAAAWTTCTACTATGGATGAGAGGATTAAATAGCTGGTTGACCCTAAATACCAGGTGGTTTTAATTCCATATTGGAAACATGATATCTTGTGGAACTTTTGTAGTACCATAATATTTAAGTAATTCACAGCCCTCATATGATAATCATACCTTTCTAGACTGTGCATGGTTTTGTTCCTGATGCCACCTGAACTCATGCATGGGTACATCTTCATTACATTTAAGACATTTGATCATGGGACCAACCTAGACAGGATAAGAACAATTAATTTATAATTTAATATTTTTTGAATGTTTTTTGGCAGGCTATCAAATGCTCATGGGCTCAAGTGTATGATATAACTTTTACATCTTTCAACAAAGTTAGCCAATAGAAACGAAGGCTGTATTCTTTGATATTTTGATTACGTGTGTTGGGGTGGAAATTTTCTGCCAGTATTGAAATGCCCACTTATTAAGTGGCATAAAAAATGCTGCCTTCGTTCCTATTAGTTAACTTTGTTAAAAGATGTCAAAGACTTGTCAAGTTCTTCACTGCACAGCTAGTTGTACTGTAATGTAAAAATTATTTTACCTCTTGTATACAAGTAGATGAAGCCTGCCAGTTAAGCTGTCGTTAATATCCATGAGGTCCTTCTGTAATGGCCTGATGTAAACCACTGATGCATTTGCAATAACTCTGGACGGTGTATAAGGTGGAGGTAGCACATGGAATCCCTGTTCGKCTCCACCTCTTTGGTAGAGTAGAAGTTCATATCCGCCACAATCGACAAGCTTTGGATATCTCTCCAAGATATTTTGATGCACAGTACATCCAGTCATTTCAAACGTAATGGAAGATGGCCCAAGACCAGCATTTGCCAAGGATGTCTTGGCAGCTACTGTAGTTGGTGGCTTGTCAGTTCCACTGCTCCCAAGACAACAGAATTTGATTGTGCATGTTACTATTTTTTAAGGGGTTGCTTTCCTTTACCTTTATATCCGGGTCGTGTAGTTGGCAAGTACTTAAAAACCTTTTGATGTTCAGATTTTACATTAGTTGACGTTGAAGTTGTAGAGCTTTGTGTAGTCAGCTGTGAATTATTACTTGATGTCCCTAATTGTGGGAAAGAAAATAATGGAGGAGCCATATAGTTTCCTTGATTCGTATTTAATTACACATTGCACTGTGTAAGAGCAATGTAACATGATACAACCTTTATAACAGAACAATCATGTGATATAAGTGATTGACAAGATATGAATATTGAGTTAATACATGAACAAACAGAAACGAATAGTAAAGTATCTAATATTTATAATGTTCAAATACAAATTATCAAGGTTACAAAAATGTTGTTTGTGACATCTAAAACATATGTTTGCAATGCTATGATTATAATATAGACAGATTAAAATAATTAGAAGTTGTGTACATGTATATGTTTTGGCAGCTTTTAGACATGCTAAATAATTATAAACTTCTGATTTTGACCTCTAATAGAAACAGCAAACACCCCTCCCATCAATATACTGCAGTAGGTTATTGAGCTATCGCAACAAAGAAGCAAATAATGTCTGAATGCTAAGGTGATTTTTGAAAGCATATTTTAGAGMTTAAAAATATGTAAATCAAG